TACCTCGTGCCGAGCATGCCAGCCTGAATTATAAAGTGTCAGCTGCCAGGGTTTTTCAGCGCCATCAGTGGGTGGGGAAAACCCCTCCTCCGTGCACCACCTGCCACTAATCAGCTGACTGCTCTTCTTCGGCGCCGTTTGGAGGCTTCAGGTGGAGTCCAGCGTAGGTGCGAACGAATCATGTATTCCTCTGAACTGGCTGCTCAACAAAATTTAGCTCAGAGGAAGGACGGCACCTAAGTACATTTTACATGCCTCCTGTATCTACATTAGAAATTATGTTTTTATCATTTTCTCACCTGCACCTATCGCTGAAGTTAAAGAAAAACCCCAGATCACGTCTTTCGTGATCTGACTTTGCTGTGTCACACCTGGATGAGGTGGCGGAATGGTAGCAGCTGTCTGAGGAAGCCATCCTCGCTCACTGACCCCTTAAATGACCAGCTGAGGCTGATAAAAGGTCACGGATCCAATGGAAAAACTCTCACGTAATTACAACTCGCGGAAGGTATGGTGTCAGTCACTACTGCCAGGAGTCGCCGCTCGCAGCTAATAGCGGCGCTAATACCCCGTAGCATTACTGTATGGTGTTAAATGATGCAAGAATCTTCTGGACTGAATTAACATTTTTCTGGTTTGAGCTGCTTTTGTTATTTTCTCCTAAAGATTTATTTTTGTGATTTTAGCGCTGGGGTAAAATCACATCATCGTGTTAACAAATTAGAGTGTTTAACAGAAGCACACGACCCCGCGGACCCTTTGAATGAACGAACAATTAAAATAATCCGGATGAAAGACACTTAATTCTTTGCTCTCTAGAAGTTGGTGTTTGAGGATTTCGTGTTGGTTTAGTGTTTCTGTGGCGTATTCTTTGCTTGTGGGGGGATTTTCTGCCACCGCTGTAATGTGGTGGATGAATACAAGCTGCCAGAGTATTTTGGCAACCGACACCGCTGTCTCGCCCTCGCCCGGCCACAGATAGGGATCAGCAGTCTTTCTCTGAGCGAACGTGGCTACCAGGGTAATGTTACAGCCTTATTTTCCTCCGGTCACATACACAAAAGATTAGTAAAGCCATATCCAATATCACAGACTGTCAGGTCCCTTCCCAATCAATAGGCTTAGATCAGAAACCAATCTATTCCATACGATTACATCATCAAAATAAAGATATACCCCGACTCTGTGCTGTACGGGCGTCTTTGAAGGCGTCCGCGCGGCTATAAATTCAGATTTAGTTTTGCCCTTTGGCCTTTCTCGCTGCTCGGTTTGTTCTCGAACCACAAACTCGTCTGTGCAGCGGCACATGTGTGAGGCCTTGTTTGCTTTTTAGGGTGTCAGGGTAGCCGGCAGCCTGCAGCTGAGAGTCAGCGCCCACCCAGAGGCTCTTCGCCGGCCTGTCCTCACTGTCTGGCAGGTGATAGATCAGACACGGAGGCGAACACGTGTTCCTCTGAAGAAGGGGATTTGGCGAAGTGCTGACCTCACACTCGACTCGCAGCGCGCATTCATGTACACACATGTCATATGTGCGCCCCTGACAAGCGACACGGGATCAGACCTCGAGGTGCATGTTTCCCGCCGACACCCTTCTCCCCTTTCGTTCGTTTTTTTTTTTTTTTTTCACTCCAAGCAATTTGTGCAAACGCCACAAAACGGGCGAAATACACCGACGGGGGGGATCCTGAATCGACCCAGCCGCTCTCCGGCCCTGCAGATGTTTTCGATTACAGCCGCATTTGTGGTCGGGGCGGCTCTGTAATACACAGTAATACCCCTTGTGGACACGCCGGCTCAGATTTATGAAAAGTGTGATGAAGAGGGCGATGCCAGTGTGAGCGGTTGTGGGAGAACAACTCCAGCTTTGTCTTGTCAGCCCATCGGGGGTTTAGAGCAGGTGGGGCAGCAGCGTCCTCGGACACTTTTTTTTTTTCTTTCCCTCCCCTCTGTCTCTGCAGCCCACCCAGACTCTGTGCAGTCAGACAAAAGCTGCCCGATGCCGTTAGCCGGCCGCGGGCTCGCTGGCTCGGCCTTCAGAGGTGGCTCTGGAAGGGCAAAGTGCCTGTGCTTTGTGGAGGGTGAGCGGCCGTGCAGGAGGCGGCGGGGTTGGTGGTGGTGGTGGAGGTGGGGGGGCTGCATCCCTCTGATTTTTCCCAGCTAAAATAGGGAGCTCCTAATCTCCCTTTGGCAGCGTTAGCCAGCCAGCCAATTCTGACACATTCTCTAGAAAGAAGCGCCTCTGACAGGTGAGGGGCTGAAAATAGTTGCGCGAGACACACACACACACACACACACACACACACACACATGCACGTGTTCATGTAGTAACACACAACCTGAGTGCAGGAGACACACTGTGGGACAGAATCTGAGCTTCTTCTGCATCGAATGAATGAATCTCACATGTGGTGCGTTCTGTGTGGGAATTTTTGTTGTTGTTGTTTGGACACATTTTTTAAGTGTGTGTGTTTTTTTGTTCCCCTGTGTGGATGAACGGTTTTAAGGAGTTTTATCCAACCTGAAGAGGGACATTTAAAACAAAAAAAGAAAAAGAAAGACGTGGTTTTTATTCATTTTTAGCTAAAATATCTAAAAGTTTTGTTTTGTTCCTTTAACATCATGCTTGGTCCTTTTTATTTATTTTATAATTAATAATAAATCAGTCAGCTTTCAAGTGACTCTTTTTATTTTTGTTGATTGTGTGTTTTTATATTCTTGGACTTACAAGATGTTTTTATGTTGACAGAAAATATAAATATCCAAATAAACACACAGATGAATAAAACTGAGGGAGACGCGGCAGCTTCAATCAGGAATTTGCTTTAAGGTTCCCCGCGTCAATAAAGATAGTGAATGTGAAAGGGAAGCCGGGGTCGGGTGGCCGTAAAGATCGCTCCGATGTAAATATGCCTTATCATCTTTCCACACACACACGTATAGCGAGGATGGACTGTCAGCCGGCATCGCTGTGTCCCAGTCAGCACTCAGTCGCTGAACGGTCGTACTAAATTCATAATATCCAGCACACGCCTCTGTTACCCTTTAACCTCAAACCCCCTGCTGTGACAACATAAAAAGTTTTAGAGATGGTTCCCTCTGGACCCGCATTGTCTTGAAGCTCTGGAGGCTGATGTGGTTTTGGGCCTGAGGTGAGGAATGCGGCGCTGACGATGACACGAACCCTCCACCACCCCAAACGCTCCCCTCCTTCCTCTGCGAGGGGCCTCATCCAGCTGTCTTGTTGTGGTCAGATTCTCAGTACTGTTCCGTATCACATGGGGAGGAGATAATCCCACACTGGTCCGATCAGGCGCTGGCCGGGACAGGCAGGGGCTGTCAGGGAGGAGAGCCGGCGCTGCAAGGAGAGGAAAGAGAGCAAATGAGGAGGCAAAAGAAAGAGAAATAAAACTGATGTGTTCCGGCCAAAGCTTGTTCTGTCTTTTTTTTTCCTCATTCTTCTGCGTTATTATCCAACCCTCCTTTCCCTCTCTCCCTCTCTGTCTCTGCCCTTCTTCTTTCTTGGGTCTGTGCTGTTTGCAGCGCCGCTAAGCTGTAAACTGAAACTGGTTAGCGCTGAGCTCTTAATTCTTGTCAGCGTCTATTAATTATGGGCCAGTTGGATGTTCCAGTTCAAACAGCCCCCGCGGATCTTGGAATTCTAACTCCGGCTGTTTGGTCACTTGTCGCTTGTCGCAGCCACATGACCCTGCAGCCCACAGCAGGGAAACCACAGTGTGTGTGTGTGTGTGTGTGTGTGTGTGTGTGTGTGTGTGTCACTGTCATTCTGCCGGAAACGTCCATGAATTCAGCGTTTCCACCTGCTTCATATGTCTCTGCATTAGCTCAGCCTGTTGTTGTGAAAGCCTTTGCTAACTGCGCATCCCTTTATTGGGCCTGTGTGTGTGTGTGTCATTAAACAGAGAGAAGCCACTGAATTGATTTAATATCTGGAGGACAAGCGCACACTTTCCTGAAGCGCCATTTGTAATTTTAAATTTAACTTAACCAAGAGTAATGGTGAAAACAGCTACTGAAGCTCCATCTATCGCAAAAGCCCGGCTCCTAGCTGCCTAACTGACTAATTAAAACCGCATCCACATGTGTTCAAAGAACAAGAAGTCTATTTGCAAGCCTTATTGATTACTTTAAGGCGTACAAATGGAAAGCTGTGTTAGGAGAGGGGCTCTCGATTTAGCTTCAATCTGCCAGGCATAAAATGATCTCACTGTGTTTGCTGGGAAGAATGAGCTCCCTCTGGGCACGGTGGGTAATTAGGTTAGTGGATAGTCGGTGTCAGGAAATTGAAAGACCATCCTAATCGGATTCTTTTGTTTCCAGGGGAATCAAAGGAATTTATATGAGTCACTGGGAAATCTCACACGACTCAATTCCACTTGACCATGTAAAATCTGTTTGCTCTCCCTCGGTGCTCAAACAACTTTTGATACCGGCGCGTAAATTCGGCACAGAAGGTGCATCAGGCCCGCGTCCTCTGCGATGGCTTTGAAGATAATCCCGCATGTGTCACGTCTGTGTGCTCGCTCGTCCAACCGGCAGCCCCGCTTGACAGTCAAAAGGTTAAAACGAAGGGATGAGACTCTGCACGGCACATGCAGGAGTGAACTACCACAGAAATATCCTGCAATCAGACAAGAACAGCGTCGTGTGTGATGCTTAAGAAATCTGGCTGTTTCATATAATGTATGTCACAATGTGATTAAAAATGAATAGAGAGTTTTATGACTCAGCAAAATAGGTCATGTTTCCCAATAATAACCTGTAATAAAGAGGCTACGGTGTGATCAGCAGCAGCGCTTATAGTCGCAAATGTAGCCTCATAAAACTGTAATTAAATGTAATGATGAAGATTTAGCTGATGGGCATCAAAGTGAACCCGTAAACACATCGGAGCTGATTTGCTTTGTTCTGTTCTGCTAAACAATCAGGTTTTATGCCCTCTGTAACGTGTTCATCTGCCATTCACATGATGCTTCCTGCAGGTGTGCGTCTGGACCGGGTCAGAGGGGGCAGACAGAAGTACAAACGGAGGCTGGACGCAGAGAACGGCTCCTACCTCGGCCTCACCATCCCCCCTCCAGCCAAAAAGCCATGTGAGTGGTTCTGCTCAGTTTGTTTCTGTTTCTTAAATGTGGGTGATAGCTCAGCAAGTCCACAACTGGGGGCAGTAAAAGGAAATGTAGTCGATCTACAAACCAGCTCATTGAGGAATATGACTGGACTGAACCCTCTGAACCCCAGGTAGTTTCTGGATGTTTTTTATTTGCTCCTGTCACGTTTTTACTCACTGTGGCCTCATGTTTCACCACAATATAAAGTCCTGCACCTCTACGGAAACAGTACAACCATGAGTACAAGCAGGAAGAACTTAAACATGCATCCTGTGCAATCTGACACAGTTATAATTACATAAATCGTTAAAAAAAAGAGAAAATATTCCGTTTTTTTGATCATTTATTTTACAAAAACATTTTAAAAACCTCAAATCAACGTGTGCAACATTTTTCCAAGAGCACTGAGGTGTTACTGATACTGGAAATGAGCGTGCTGGCTCTAAATACTATAAATATTTTACTTTTATGCTTTTTTAGTTTGTTCCTATGCTTGTCTCCTCTCTGCTCTGCGTAAACACAACCTGCAGTTCAGCTGAAAACTCGGCAGAAACAGAATTTTTCTGAATTTTCTGAACAAATGTTTTTTTGTTTTTTTATTTTTTTAGCAAATTTCTAAATGAGTGATGTAGAATAAAGTGAATATGATGAAATGTCATGATTTTCAGCTTAGATTTGGGTAATTCTTCTAATTTAAATCCATCCAACACATGATTAGTTCATGAAAAGCTGAAAATTCAACAATTTTTTTCTGTTTTTAGTTTCTGACTCTAATGAATAGTGCCTTTTTTTTTTTTTTTCCACATGGCTTTCAAATCCACTGGCAGCTTTGGGGCTTTTCGAGGGTTAATCCAATTAATTGAGAATAAAACTTAATAAAAAAATGTCCAGATTAGTGCTTGGTTTAGCTGAATTATAACTGACCACATGTGCTAGCGCGTACACGCTTTATCGGACCGGATCAATGACTTGCATCTGCTTCCAGTCCAACCTGTGCTGCCTTTAAACACGCTGCCAGTCCGATGTGACTGTTGCTGCTGATAAAGATGAGTTTTAGGGGTTCAGAGGGTTCGATAAACTCCTACGATTGTGAAGCCTTTCTGTTAATAGTCTATACCGTCACCTAAAATAATTCACCTCTCTGGTTCCCCTCCTCTTCTCTCTCTGCCTCTGTCCATCCCTGCATCCACCGTCTCCTCTCGCAGTGACAAAGATTGTTTCCCATCTGTTGGTGGTGGAGCCAGAGAAGATCTATGCCATGCCCGACCCCACCATGCCCGACGGAGACATCAAGGCCCTGACCACGCTGTGCGACTTGGCCGACCGCGAGCTGGTGGTCATCATCGGCTGGGCCAAACACATCCCAGGTAGAGAGAAGTGGCTGCTAATGAGTGACTGTGTGTCTGAACACATGCTGCACATATTTTAATTTGAAATGTCACTGATTTTCTGTCAATAACGCACCAGAAAAATGTCGTTGTGTTTTCAGTTGATAGGATTTTATAACCAAAAAGGACACGAGTAGGTTTGTCTGGTAACTTGCTATGACATCATATTTTTAAAAATCATTTCTACTTAAGGTTTTAGGCTGCAGGAGGAAAACCAGCGTTTGCCTTTTGATTTGCTGAAACGTTACAGTGTGAGACTACTGAGGTAGTTGGGCTACTGTTGTACATAAACCCCCCACCCTCGCACTCACACACAAGCACACACAGGATAATTAACATCTGCTACTCATCTGCACCTAAGGGAGAAGCTAGTCCCATATTCTAAAATCTAATCAATAAAGAGCAGCTGAAACCTTTGATTTGACTGGGTGGGGTGGGAGAGTCTGGGGGCCGGGATCCGCCCCTATGTCAATGTATTCCATTTCAATCCCAGACTTAAAGGAAGCAATCCTCTTACTTACTTAAGGAGACTACACAGGGCCTGTGGTAACATTGATTTATTTAGGGAAATACTGACGGATTTCCCTTCTCCTTGTTGACGAATTCTTAAATAAGACTTGTCATGCAAATGTTCTTTTCTTCTCGTCTTCATCAGCAGAAACCTTCAGCGCGGCGGCGTGTTTACAGGCAGCACAGGTTGGACTCCGAGCAGATGCAAGTCATTGATCCAGGCAGATAGAGCGTGTACGCAGTGGCACATGCAGCCAATTACGTTATAATTCAGCTAAATTGAGTCATAATCTCCACATTTTTAATGCGCTTCAGAAGTTTTATCCAAATTAATTTGGTTAACCCACGAAACCGCCAAACCTGCCGCAGCTTTAAAAGACACGTTATATTTAAAATATCAGCAAAATTACATCATTCATCAGAGCCAGAAACTCTAAAAACTGAACAAAATTAGTGATGCACGATATTCAAATGTCTGGCCGATACCGATATTAAGATTTCTGATATTGCAGATAACCGATATTACCGATATTCAATTTTTGTTCACATCAAAAAATTAGCATAAGTAAGCACTGTGAGAGCGTGAAAACTATTCAAAAGAAGCCCAAATTAGACCACATAGTCTTCTTTATTACGTAACAAACATAAAACATATTTTAACATATTAAACGTTAAAGGACCATTTAAGTAAAAACATCTGTGAAATAGCAGCGATATCAAATGTAGAGACGAAGGCGCTGATGTTAGACAATCATCGGTTTTTCACATCAGACCGATACCAATATGTGGGAAAAAACACTAATATCAGCCGATACCGATGTGGTCGCCGACACACCGTGCATCCCAGAGTGCATTTTCAGCTCTCCAACAGTCCTCGACCTAACCACGTGTGATGTGTCGTTCCCTCAGTAAAATTAAATCAAATATAAACTTAAAATTCTGATATTTTCTCAAAAGCACTTCATTCTACTTGTTGCCAAAGATGAACAGTTTTTATGAACCACATTCTGTCAAAAACTAAACATTGTGTGTTTCACAGTGCAGCCGTCAAGTCATTAGTAAGCAACAGTCACATGGTGAACATTCAGGAACTTTTTAGCTGAACTCAGCTGAGCTGCAGGCAGTGTTTAGGGAGAGAGAGACAAGTATGGAGAAAAATAATAATTAGTAAAATATCCATATGGTGTAGAGCCACCATATTTTTGTATTATTGGTAACGTATGGACATTTGGTGGAAAATGTTGATTCCAGGTTTTTTCTTCTTTTTTTTTTTGTCTTTAAAAAATAATCAAAGAAATTCAAATTTTTAATTTTCATGATTCATCGCACTATAACTGTAAAAGTTTTTCACTATAACCACACAGAAGACGTTTTAGATTCTCTCTGCTTCTACACATGTTTGTTTCACTGAGGTGCAGGAATCAATGGTGCAGAAGCTGTTTGGGGTTCAAAGGGTTAAACAGCCACGACGGTTTCTCATCTTGTCCTGTTTCATCCCACCAACAACCCAAAAACTAAACATCTCCCGATGATATGAAGCGAGCAGAAAACCACCCACATGAGAGTTTGGAATCAAATAATTGTTGCGTTTTAATTGAAAAGCCATTAATCAGCTATCAGACTAATAAAACAACAACCCTAGTGCATCCTACACACTAAATTAATTTTGCCGTCACAACCAAACACATAAACTTGGATTTGCTTCCTACCTCTGGATTTATTCTCTCATTTCTGAGCTGGCACAATGCTAACCAGCTGCTTAGCTCTCTCTGTCCAGGGTTTCCCCTAATCACCAATTCATCATCAGATTTATGTTTGACACTTAAAGCAGGACGATGAATCTTTTACGGAGCAGCAGCAACAGCGTTTGCCGCCGCTATAAGTAATTACAGGGCGCTGGCGCTTGTGCAACAAACACAAAATCATCATAAATACTCGCCGGCAATCGCACATGTCGAGCTGACGTACAGGTAATCTGATTACTGGGACCTGAGCAGCCTGATAGAGTCCTGATGTTTGTAGCTCAGCTCTGCTTCTAACCAGCTGTGTGACCAACGCAGTCTGAGGGCCGAATATCAATCAAAGAGGCTGATGAACGGCAGAAAGCGATTGAGACGGCGTACTGCTACTGTTAATACAAAAGTGCAGAAATGCAGGATGACGTGAGGGGATAATGCCACAGTCAGCAATTTAAAAACCTAATTTAAAAATGGTGCAAAGCTTTTATAGTGCACCTGCATCCGTTCCTTTGTGGGAGCCTCGACGTCTTAACGCTGAACTTCAAGCAGCTTCTTTTTGCTTCTGTCTCATTTTTTTACTGCAATATAGAGTCCTGAACTTCTATGAATACAGCAGGACTGTAGCTAGAAGTAGAGAGGACTCAGTGGTGTCTGCTGCATGTCTGCGATAGGTACAGGTATAAAGCCATAGGTACAGTTATAAAGCCATAGGTACAGTTATAAAGCCATAGGTACAGGTATAAAGCCATAGGTACAGGTATAATGTCATAGGTACATGTATAATGCCATAAATGATGAAATAAAAGAAAAAAAAAATCAAATTTCTGTATTTATTTTTCCAAAAATGAGAAAAACCTGTGATCAGCATATAAAACATTTTAGTCCATCGGTCCGTGGTGACTCAATCCACAGGTATTTTACTACTTTGATAGTTTTTTTATTTGTTTTGTCCTGTCTGTGCTTCGTGAACACTGCCTGCAGTTCAGCCGAGTGCAGCAATAAAACGCCCAGAGCTTTTGTTTCTTGACTGTTGGTTGCAGATGAGCCACTAACCTTCATAGTTGCCTCAAGAAGCAGAAGAATTTTAGGTTTTTTTGGAGGATCTGTTTGGAGCAAATGAGGCATGTAACAGCTTAGATTTGGTTAAGTTAACTATCAGTTTTAAGGACTATCAGATGGTTCAAAATCCAACCATTTTTCCCAATTTTTCAAGTTCTGACTCAGACAAACGGTGTCATTTTGTAAAGACAGCATGCCTTTTAAAATCGCTAACAAGCTTTGCATCGTTCCTGCGAGCCTCAGGTTAAGAGCAACACTATGAGCCGTAGCTAACGGTCACGAACAAATCTCCAACAACTGGTTTACGATGTCGAATCCTAACGTTAGGATACTGGACTGTGGCCACAATGACGGGAAACGTGATTCCGACACAAATCTGCTAATTAAACACGGTAACTAACAGCCGATGATCGATCGCTGTTCGGAAACCCGGCTGTAATTAATGCAATTAGGTGTGCGTGAAGGTGCGATGACCCGAACGAGCCCTTTGAACCTCAGAGGAGTAACTTGAGAAAAGACGACGAGGCGCTGCGTCGCCTGATTAAGCGATTCGACTGCAGAGGGATGCTGCTGCTGCTGCCTCACCACTTTGGAGTTTACACTGAGAAACAAGCTTGAACAGGGACAAAAGGAGCATCCCTGACCCAAATGCACAGTTTTTTTTTCCCTGACCTCTTTTTCATCCAACATCTTGAGAGCGAGGATACGTCTTCACTATTTTTAAAGAACTCCAATTCAGGTGTACTTTGTAATGTTAACAAAAAAAGCTGAATCGGGTTACTACGGCCAAGTTCTTCAATTTAATCAAAAGGGGGACGGAAATGAATTTAACTGTAATATTTGTGCGCCTGTTACATTTTCTATGTATAAGTATTGATCCCGGGTTGCTGCGAGGATCTAAATGCAGACCTGACAGAGTTATTAAAGGGGCATGTGACACTCTGGGGACACTTTACCCGGGGCCAGCGGGTCAGAGTGTCACCGAGCAACGATTAAGACAAAAGGGGTCCCTACAGTTTAACAGTCCACTCCCACTATTACACTCATAGCCCACTGCGCAAATGGCCTTAACGATGAGGTAATAAGAGTCATTAGTGCAGATCGCTCCATTAATGCAAAAGTCCTTCAGAGCCGGGACGCAAAAACGCCGCATTAGCTTCTCTGTTGCAAATATGCGCACGACATATGAAAAGATTAAATAATAAAACAGAGAAACATTTTGGATTTAGGAGCGATGTTTGTGACTCGTCGGTGCAGCTCGTATTTCTGAAATATTAAAGACAACGTGTGCAAAAATCAGATTAGATGAAGTGTTAGAGGACATTTCTTTAAACATGTTTATGACTCGTCAGTACAAACTGGCCGTGGTAATGGGAACAGATGTTTTACGGCTAATAGACACGCGTTTGTATTTGGGTTTATTTTTATTACAGCCCTCTGGTATCTGATGCATCCCTTTCTTCCCTTTTTGATTTTTCCTCTCCTTCTCCTCTCCCACACACACACACACACACACACACACACACTCCACCAGCAGATCTTTCACACACTCTCTCTCTCTCTGGCTTCATGTTCTCCCCTGGCTCTCCCCCTCCTACTCCTCCTGCTCATATAGGGCCCTCTAGTCTCATTATTACCTCTGTCTTTTTATTAGGCCCATTAGGGCTCTTAGGAGGCCTGTAATGATACTAAATGAATAGAGAGTGAACTGCTGTCTGTTTTAGACCCAGCTCTCAATGACAGCTTCAAGCTTCACTGCAAACCACTCAGTCTCTCCACTGTACTGAATACGGATTCAATTAGTCGTCTGATCCGCACCTGTACAGTACCGTCGGCCCGCCGGAGCACTTCTGCACCGCAAACAATCCCCAACATGCTTCAGCGTGCTGAGGACGCGGTACCTTATAGAAATATATGTTAATGGCGTGCTACAGTGGTTAAATATAGCCCGGTGTGGTGAGGATTTACAGTCCCGGTGAGTTTTGATTCCTCTTAATCCTGCAGCGCAACAAAGCCCAAACGGTGCTGATGTCCTGTTTGTGTCCTTCGGTTTGGGAAGCACTTTGGTTAATGTCAAAGCAAACAAACATTCTCAATATTTAGCCAAAACCAAAACCGACAATAAGTCATTCTGCAGTTAATCAGATGTAAAAGCTTTCTGGTGAGGTAGCCAGAGCTAATTTGGGTAATGCTAAATTAAAAAAACAAAAAAAAGGGTTCTCCTGGCTCTTTCTGTAATTAAAATGCATCCATTTTGATCAACCAGTGTTTTGGTTGCTCAGTTTGTTACCCAGTGTAGTTATTGATTAGGCAAAGGGGCTCAATTTTGAACTGAAATCACAATTTGGAATCATGTAATTAGCCGATCAGGTGTGGCTTCATAACGAGGCGCTTCTCATGTAGTAACGCTCCAGTCTAACACACAGTGACTTTAAAAAGTTCTATAGCACATCACATCCTAAGAATGAAACCATTCAGTCCTGTTCGGTAGTAGTCTAGTTATAACAGAGGAAATAAAAGGATTTAAGAAAAGCTTTTTAAAGCAAACTCATTTGGTTGAGCAGCAGTAGCTTCAGTCTGCTGGAGGTCACGCAGGTCAGTTTAAGTCGCTTTCAAATTTTAAAAAGTGGTAAACGTTAGATTCCTGTTTAGTTTGATCAAATCTGTCAGTGTAGGAAGATACAGAGTCTGTCTGATCCGACTGTAGGATACCAGATTATGTTTATTTTCTTAAAAGAATCGACTTCTTTGTCTTTAGATAATACGTCGTCCTCTTGAGATTAACCAGAGACAGTCTCTTCTTGTTATCCTATATAAGTGATTTATATTGAGGTAGGTAGCTACAAAAGGCAGAAAATAAGACTTTACAATCTTTTCTGTTCCGTAGTTAACCAGCTGACAGCAAAAGCTTTGACCTCGGTTTCTGCACTCGCTGACGCCTTTGCAGAGCAGCAGATATTAATTCCTCCACTGTTTGTTCAGTGGAAACCACCTGGTGTCCTCCGTTCATGCTTTTTGTCAACACACAGCGAGTCTGCAGACACGGAGACGCTGACGTTCCTCCGTTTGCTCAATACTGTGTCATGTTTGGTCAAACGGCAGTAAATCAGTGGGGTGAAATATTGATATTTCATCAGGGGGATTCGCCCTCGGCGGCCGCACTTAGCTCGGCCACCTCCGGGCGACGCACCTGAAGCTCCGGGGTTACCTCCGGGGAGCCACCAAGTCACTCCATCGCTTCAGCAAATTGAGTGGAAAGAGAAAAAAAGCACAGGCTGGGGAAAAGAAAGGAAGAAAATGAAGAGACGTTTGAAGAGGGAGAAGAGAAAAGAGTTTATGACGGCAGAAATGGAGCATATGTTGGTGATCACGGACCTGTTTGTCCCTGTAGGAGCAGCGATGCATTCAAAAGCAGTAGTTTTAGTCTGAACCGTTGCTCCTGTACAACTATTGAAGAGGATTTCCGCTCCCTTAGACTCCTTCTGGACAGGAACATGTCGTCATTTCGTCCTCCTTCGCCGTTCTAACCCGACGCGATTAAAGCCGTTCGTTTTCTTGCCAAACTGCCTTTTGGGAATCCAGAGTAAATTCATGAATTCCTGATACAGCCTACATATCTACATCCAGAGATCCCGTAGTCGTCCCTTCCCCCCACTAAACATGTACCGGATGTCCTCCATCAACTGTCTGTTTGTCAGATCTGAGGCTCGGATCGATCCCCCTTTCGCATTTGGTGGACTGATTACAATCTACTAATCAATGACACCCCCAGCACTCTTTTCTCTCTGCCTCATTCTCTCTCTTTCCGTCGTTTCTCTATTTGCTTGATAAGAACCATCGGGAGGACCTCTTTTAAGTCAACCTGCCCGATTCCGATCCATACAAGTTCAGATTTAAGTAAGCAGCGTGGTGGGTTCAAGGCCCTGGTCAATACCCCCAATCACCTTCCTATTCACCGTAGAGCAGCGAGAGCTATTGTGGCGGCTGAGGTCCTTTCAGGTGTCCGTCTGTTTGATGCGGTGTGTGCGGATGTTGGAGGAGAGAGTTGATGGCTCGACCTCCAGATCTGGATGAATTGCTACTCGTGAGTTTGGAAGGTTGAACACAAGGAGGGGAAGGAAGGAGGAGACGACCGGGTCGGAACATGTTCTGTTTTGTCTCGGAGCTGAACTTTGCTGGACTTTAACTTTTTCCCACACGATCCCATAATAATTAAACCAAGGAGAATTATAGTAATAGTGTTTATTTATAACTTTATGTTAAAAGCAGCTCCAATTCGATGCAGATCAGTGAGAACACAATTTAACTCCTCTGCTTTATTCTCCAACACTTCCACCTATCGTGCCTTTATTACGTCGGTATCTTCGGTTGCTCTTCCTGGCACGAGTTATTCATTTGTCTCAACAAGAGAATTTATAAATGACCGCAAATAGAGCGTAACATTACAATCAATATCTTATTCAAGTCAGCTGAGCTAACACCAGATACGGTGCAGAGATTCATTAAAAAAAAGTCTTTTTTGGGGTCAAATTACATCATCTTTTGAACATATATATATATATTTATTTTTTAAATGCAGTTATTCTGTTTAACTCCATAGCTGTATTTGGAAATATAATCCCGTCCATAGCTGCTCAATGAGTGGCCATGAATAATTTATCTGTAAATCTATTGTTGAAGTCAACATATCACTTTTTTAAATGTCATTGCAGATCTCTACAAAAAAACAGCTTCAATTACAGCTTCTTGTGCCTGATTATAAAAAACAAGAAAAACTGCATCAAAACATTCACAGTGAAAATATAGAAAAAATTAAATATATCAAGGTTATATAAAATAAATAAAGGTTCAGACAATCCATAGAATACATAACCATGAATTAAAAGCAGTGGGAACAGTTTTTTTTTCCTCCAATATGAGCTGATTGTACAGCGTGAATCCCAGAAGCCTTTTCACTCTGTTTGATTTGGATTCAACTAAAACGTACGTGACTGAATCTATTTTGCAACTTCTTTCCTTTTAATCTGCAGTTTTCATACGACAACAGATGGCGACACGAACTGTAAGAATCACTGAGGGTGCTTTAATTTAAGTCGTTTTACAAGAGAAAAATCCACTGTGTTGTTTGTTGTGACGGAGAATTCATTTCCCCGCGACCAGAAGAAGACGTAGCCGGGGTCGGGAGTGGATTTGTCCTCACCGAGCGGCGTCTCATGTGCTCATGCAGTGAGAAGGACTGGCTGTTGATGGCTGGAGCAGCCCCGGCTCATGTTTCAAAGGCCTCTACACTTGACTGATTTATATTCCTCCCCTAAGCCACCACATGCAGCGGTCGGCCTCTGTTTCAAGTTGGGCTTCTCTGGGGATTGTATAGCAATTGTACCTACACAGCCCATAAAACATATGGAGGACTGGAGATGGACAATTACTGAGCCGCGAGGTTAATAAACTGATCTCCTGCTCTGTCACGTGCTCGTACAGCGTCACAGACAAACTCAGAATATAACAAATGGTTGTTGTTTTCTTTTAAACGCTGCAGGTTTCTCCACGCTCTCGCTGGCCGACCAGATGAGTCTACTGCAGAGCGCCTGGATGGAGATCCTGGTGCTGAGCATCGTGTTCCGCTCGCTGCCCTGCGAGGACGAGATCGTGTACGCCGAGGACTACGTGGTGGACGAGGAGCAGGCGAGGATCTCGGGCCTGCTGGACCTTCACGTCGCTATCCTGCCGCTGGTCCGACGCTACAAGAAGCTGCGCATGGAGAAGGAGGAGTTTGTCACGCTCAAGGCCATCGCGCTCGCCAACTCGGGTAAGGTTCACCTCCTCGGCCCCCCGCTGGTATAAAAACTGAAGCTGTGCAGGGAAACGTCATTCAAGTTTAATTTACTGTCCGAGTGGAATCCCAAAGACGTCCAAATATATCAGATTTTCTAGTCTGAATTTTAGAAACATATAGAGGACAATATGTTTGGTTCATCTTCAGTATTTATGTCTGAGTTTAGACTGTAAACTGAAGAGTGTGTGTTTGAAATTACTTTTGGAACCACAACTAACCACCGACCACAGTTATAAACTCATCCATCCATCATCTATACACCACTGGGTCACTGGAGTCTATCCCAGAGGTCTCAGGGTGAAGGCAGCCTGGACAGGTCACCAGTCTATCGCAGGGCTACGTTTTAATCTTGTAATTTAAATAAAAACTAAATATTGTTCATGTTTGGCCAAATATCCACTTTTCTCTACAACAGTGAAGCTGCCTTGAGCCTGACAGGAAAGTGCAGATCTCCTTAAATATCAAACCTAACGAATTCAACCCTACTGAAACCCAAAACTCTCCATCAAGTTTAAAAGCATTTTGTCTTTTTTTGTTGTTTTACAAATCACCAAATTTATCGGAAACTATAAAAGTTGTTGGATTTCCAACTTGCCAACTGTTTCATCTGATAACCTTATAATCAGGATTTTCCTCTAAATCCCTTTATTCTATTTGCCTTGTTTATAAATCTGCAAAACATTTACATTAACCGGACACTTTTTTAAAAAAAAAAAAATTCTGCACTTCTGGGTGCAACTGTGAAGCCAGTAGCGACTGAGCTGCGGCCGACGGTCACGTGAGAAAAATTCTGGGTATTTTTGGCTAAACTGGGCTGAACTGCAGGACGTGTTCACGCAGAGCAAATAGGAGACAAGCATGGAAACGAATGGAAACTCTAAGTACCTAAATACAGTGCCCTCCATAATTACTGGCAACCCTGGTTAAGATGTGTTCTTTAACTTCTAGTAAATTCAGTTTTTTTTCTAAATAATATCAGACCACAATGAAATAAAAAGAGGAAAATTCAACCTTTAATTCAAGTGAATTTATACAGTGTGAAAAAAATATTTAAAAATAATTATTTTACATCAAATCATGTGTGCCACGATTATTAGCACCCTGGATGTTAATACTTTGTACCAACAATTCATTTGAGTTGAGTTGAAGGTTACATTTTTCTACAATTTTCAGTGTGAGAGGATGCTTCTGCTATAAAAATTGAATTTATTTTAAGGCTTTTAACATCTTAACCAACAATTAAGGAGGGCGCTGTATGTACATATACATATATACATAATATGTACATATAAAATGTTGTAGATGTCGATTCTAGTTTTTAAAATTTTCCTAAAATAAATAATCAAACAAATTCAACTTTTGTTTTTCCTTTTTTATGACTTATGACATTATCATGTCGTTATATTAAACAAGATGTATTTCTGAATTCTCTCTACTTCTGGCCATAGTTGTGTTTTTTCCACAGACTATATATATTTAAAAAAAAAACACCCAGGAAGTATTTCAGAAGGTTAAGTAAACAAAGAAATTAAACAACAACAAAAAAACCACATCAAGTGATTTTCTATATCTTGTGTGACCATCACTTCCACAATGAAGGATCCCTGATAAGAAGGGACGGAAAGGTCAGCGTGCGGTGCTTTAATCTAACACTCCCTCGTGTGTGTGTGTGTGTGTGTGTGTGTGTGTGTGTGTGTGTGTGTGTGTGTGTGTGTGTGTGCGCGGTGCTATATTTTAATCTGTGTGCGGCGGACACATGTGCGTGTGTGCGACTGTCACATTGCGCTCTCATTCTCTCCATCTCCATAACAGTAGCTGCCAGCGCGCCACAGCCCAGGGAGATATATTTAGCATTTCATTAGAAAAACAGGGGCTGTCAATAAAATGTGTTAAGTGGAGTGGAATGAGCGTTGGGGAGCGACGGGCCTCGTTTGTTCCAATGTGAAGATGCTGCGCCCGTATCGACAGTTTGCTTTTCATGAGGCTGGGCCTGTCCCCCACTAATCAATGCCTGTTAGGAGTCTTTTCTCCTGCCTGACTGAAAAATGAAAAATGCTGAGCCCAGAGCTTTAGTCTTCTGATGACAAACACTCCACGGGAGAGAGAGGGAGGGAGGACAAATGGGAGAGGAGGGGGAGGATATGGAAAGACAGGGGATGTAAAGGTAAGGGAGAAGTGTGAGAGAGGGAGGCAGGGGTTGAGGGGGGCGGCTCAGGGAGGGCAGGAGGGCAGCTTCGGCCCGTTTGAACACAGTCGGCGCAGAGCTTGGGCTCCAGCGGTCCTGTGGGTGTGACAGCTGTGGAAATTCATGGCCATTGATTTTGTAATTAGCAGAGTATCGACGGGATTGACGCCAGGCTGCTGACGGATTACATGGAAATTGTTTCTTCAAAGTTGGTTTTGCATTCCGCCCCTAACCTCCTTAAACACTCGCAGGAAAACATTCACACACGCTGACACATATTCGAAAACATATTCTTTCTTCTCCTCTCACACACACACACACACACACACACAGGATCAGATCAGTATTAGCATGAAGGTTTCAAATGAAGAGTGCTGGAACACATGTGCGGTCCACATAGCCTAGTTAATTTCCCAAGATAGAAATGCAATTTACACAGAAGGCGACTGGTAAAAGAGACTTAATCAGTCAGTTAGGAACATAATTAGCCTTGTACTTTCCTTTTTTCTGCCTCATTTACATGTTCATACACGGTCTTACTTCAGTCCACAACTTTCATGACACACAGCAGAGCTGATCTAATTCACTCAATCTGCGGCCGGCGCTTTTTAGCAACGCGCCGCATTTAGGCCGAGACGAGTCCGTCTTATTCGGTTCGATTCGATTCAATTATACCGCCGCTGTATTGAATTCGCTTTTTTTTTTTGTTGCGCACAGTTTCATCTGTGAGCTAATGAATTGTGGATATGATGCATACACAGATTAGACCTGACACTGTGAGTCTGTGCGGTGAAATTGGCTGAAAGCAAACCGCTGCTTGTCCATTAAAACGCTCTCTGTCAGCTCGTCCTTTGGAGGACAAGCCCCCCCCACCACCACCACCACCACCCTCCTCCTCCACCCCCACAACATGTAGACTTATACATAGAGAGCAGTTTTTAATAAGTCTCAACTGGTTTTATTTTAGAGCCTATACATAAGGGGGCCAACTGCTCTTTCTTATGGAAATGAAGGCCATCTGCCACCATCATTCAGCTGAACGATATCCTAGTAATGCAGCCATCTGAATTCATTAGCGGTGGGGGTGTGGGTGGGGGGGGATGTATGTGGTCCACGATACCAAAAGAAATGAATCTTTTTCCTGTCCCACTGTATATTTATACAGACCTACAGTACCTCTGTCCCCAGAGTCCTGGCCACGCGTAGGCATTTATTTAAGGAGCATCATTAACCACTAACAAGAGAAAACCTCTCTCCAAAATTGCTTGTGTGCAAAGAGAAGCTGCAGGATTTGAAACGAGGTGATGCTGCTGCAGAACAGGTTGTTGCTGGAGCTGCAGATTTTTATTGTCGTACAACAGAAAATGTTTTAATTAATGCATTCAACAAGTAGCTTTGAAAAAAGGGATCGACCGATTTGGGGTTTTTTATGCTGATCGCTGGTCATCAAGAAAGACCGATAACTGATATTTGGACGTTAGATCTGATGTTTCAGCTGCATGTGATGGCAGAGACATTCATGACGAGGCTTCTTCATTAATAAGTGACTATAACTGGATATGTAAACTGGTTAAATTAGGACGCTCCTCTGTTTATGTGGCATCGACTAAGATTGATCAGTTTGTCTCCTGCAGTTACGTCGGCTGTTCTTTTTTTTATCTTCTTAATCTTTTACTGTTCTGTCTCTCTTATTGCCCACTAAGGTCCATAACCTAGCGCATTATTAATTATTGTTTTCCAGACTCTGTTTTATGGTCATTTTTGCTGCCTTCTAACTCCACCGATATTTGGCTGATACTCAGTCCAACACGACTTTAAAACACTGAAGCCCTTTCCTCTTCCTCTCTCCAGACTCCATGCACATAGAGAACATCGAGGCGGTCCAGAGGCTCCAGGACTCCCTACACGAGGCTCTGCAGGACTTCGAGGGCTCCCAGCACCCGGAGGACCCCCGGCGGGCGGGCAAGCTGCTCATGACCCTGCCGCTGCTCCGTCAGACCGCCACCAAGGCCGTGCAGCACTTCTACAGCATCAAAATGCAGGGCAAGGTGCCCATGCACAAACTATTCCTCGAGATGCTGGAGGCCAAGGCTTGACACGCGAGCCGGACGTTTGACGGACAGCTGCATCACCCAATCGGAGGCGAGGGACAGCCGCAATAAAGAATTAAAAGGTGGTGTGCCAACTGACGGTGGAGGGATGAAGCTCGGACTGCTGAGTCGTTTTAACACTTTTAAAACAGTAATGAGAGAAATAAACGGGGGACTTGAAATAGTTTTGAAAAAGGGTGACTATCAACTTGTTTGACGTGGGATCACGATGATGTATATAAAGAAGTTGTGTACAGAAATCAAGCGGCCGCGGTCTTGTTATATAACCAGAGACCCGCTGCTCTATATCACCTGAAGCTTCTGTGAATTCGTTTCTTATCTTATTTTCATCTCAAACATGGAAGTGTGGTAATATAAATGTCCTAAAGAACTGTACAATTGCGTAGCCACATGATGTGTTCTTTCTTTCTTTATCTCATATTTTCTAATCTCAGTTGTTGAAGCAATAGTCTCTAACTGGTCGACATATAATACGTGTACTGTATATTGTGTGAAATTGCACTGGGCGGGGGAGGGGAGGGGAGGGCGGGGCGGGGGGGGGGAATTGTTAGACATATTCTTATATTCGTCATCGAAGGAAGCGGCGCCCGCCACGGGTTACGATTCTCCATTTCCTCGTAATATATTTACCTCGTAGTAGCTTCATCGACTCGGTGGTTCGGTCAACTCGGTGCTTACGGTGGTCGGCTGGTGATCGCGGTTCACTCAGAGTTTGCACTAGGCGGCGATGAACAACGTGGCAATAATGGGAAGCTCTGTCCGGTGGTGTCTGAGTCTCGTTTTTGTTTTTTGTTTTTTTTGCTTATAGAGACTGAAACATCCTCCTCACTTCTCTCTGTGTCGTCATTATCGGCAACTAAACATACTGTGAAACATGATAAGCTGTGTTTAAGAGTCTTGTAGCTCAACTCTGTGTCCGAAAGGTTTTCTGTTCAAGGACGCCAGTGTCGTTTAATGCAATCTAATACTCCCTCTAACACCTAAATTATACCGCTGTGACGGTTTTTCAATTCGATTTACGTCAGATCGGTGCTCATTCGGATCGTTTTGAGGCTTTTATTTTGTAATGTAATAGATTGCATTAGATTGAGCGGGTTCTTGTTTTCTCAAACTACAAGTGTCACTATATTGAAGCGTGTTGGCGTGTGTGTGGTCAGAGTCATACATGTGATACCAAAGTCTGTTTTCCAGCCTCGTATAGTCACATCTTAACAACCAATCCTATAAAATGTGGATTACAGGGTACAACAATGGAGGCTCGTCGGGTGTAAACTGGAATTTTGCATGTTTAAATAATGTTTTCTTGTTGCTGTTTTTTTAAATTAATGTCCTCATCGAGATCTGGATGCAACAGATTCGCAGAAATGCTTATAGGCAACAATAATATGATTATCTCCTTCGTTCATTTTCTTTTCTCATCAAACCAACAGTCCTCTTTGCATATTTGTCGGTATAATGACACTTGTGTTCCTGAGAATTCACTCTGAGTCGAAATTCAGCAACAGAAGTATATCCGTGCTGTGGATTTTTAGCTGATGAAAGGTGCTAATCATTCAGACGGGCGCTGTGTACAAACCAAGTTAACAAATCTGTATATTCCACAAGTGATAGTAGACTTCTAGAGCGTATTATCTATCAATGGTAAACCAGTTGCCAAATTACTCAAAGGAAGCAATCAGAGTAGCCTGATGCAGTTACTTCTTTCCCGTCCTGACGACCTGAGCGGGTTCGACGGAACATGTTATCACAAGATCAGAATAAAACAATTAATCCGCTTCTCTTAGGAGTTTAGAGATGCTGTCCCCCCGTGAACACTTCAAAGCGGTCTTTAAAGTGTTTAAAGTGCCATTAGCTTCTGGCCAAACAAGACGACAAGCCAAGCGACCACAGGAGCGCTGCTGATCCACTGTAATGTAACGCATAGAGAATTATAACCCAATGCAGCAGAGAATACAACTCCCATAATGCATTTCCCCACCCCACCCCCCCAATTGTTAACCAGCTAATCCATCCCCAGTTGAAACGAGGGATGTGTCACCTCTGTACAGTAGCAAAACCAAAGCGTAGCGTCTTCAAACGGCAGAGGACATGAATATGGATGCTGAGTATATCAATCGTTCTGCTGCCGGTTCTGTTCACTCCACAGCTGTGATGGTGATAACAGCCCAACACGGACGGGTTCTGTTCGGTCAGTGTGAGCATTGATTAAAAGCCGGCGTCTTTGTCGATACGAGACGCCGTGTGAAGTCCAACAAAGGGAAGTTTCTCCTGCTAGAGAACCCTTCAGCAAACCACAGCCTGGTCGTGTGAAGTGTTAAAGTCTGGTTCGACCGAAACGGGCCAAACGGACCCTCTTCGTTGGTTGGTTCGTTCACGGGACCTCCTCCGTGCACTTTTGATAGCAGATAATTGTTTCCCAACTTTTCTTCTCCCAAATTAATACAAGAAGAAAATAACAGAAAAATGCTTAATTTATTTTCAGACTTCTAAAACGGTTCTACTACATCCAATTAATTCTAATTGTCTCCTAAGCTGAAATTCTCAATAGAAATGGAGCAATTAAATTTCTGCTTTGGCTCTACCTTGGGGACGAGAGACGTTTTATTTCGGTGGATGGCGGGGAGGGTTTGTCTAAAACCTCTACAAAGGCGATTTCATGGGCGTCTGTAATAGTTTCATAACAGAGCGATCACTGGGCTATGCAAGGCAAATATGGCCACCTATGTTCCTTGTGTCGTGGAGCATCAGACTGACGTTTAGTTGTGCTTTGTTTACAACGTGGACATACTGTACAAATGTATTGTGCATATTTCACTATACTATACTGTAACTGCTGTGCATTGATATTATAACTATGATCATTTGTTGAGTTTGCCAATTTGCTGACTTTGTCATGTTGGATTAACACAGACTGGGAGCCCACTGGATACCTGTATAATACAAGTCAAAGGGTAATAGCTCAAGTGAGTCCATCACATTTGGTTTAAGGTGGGATATCGTCTTATTTTATTTTTTTTTTCTTGTGTCTTTGTGTCTCTCAGTGCTGAAACACTCTCTCTCTCTCTCTCTCTCTCTCTCTCTCTCTCTCTCTGTGTTATCATCGATTTTTGGTTATCGGCACAGCAGGACATATAGCGAGTCAAGTCGTGGAGATCCTATACCTCAATTCATATTTTGAAAATTACACTGGGTTTGGAAGCGGGCCATGGGTTCCTCCTGGGAATCAGTGGCACAGAAATAAAGTGACATCACTGGCTGGGTATTAAAAAAAAAAAAAAAAAAAAAAATGTAGATGAACTTACTGCAATTGGGGAGCACATTCCTCGGAGGAGAAAGCTGCTTATTCGCTGTTCCATTTGCGGACTTACCTTATCTCCGTGCACTCTGAGATGACGAGATTTACATAAAACATGGAGGAACCTCCCCGGCCGTCCCGGTCCGCGGTGTATAAAGGACCCTGCTAGGTGTACGTACCATAGACATGTGATTACCCAAGAGGTTTACCCCCCTCGAAAGCAATATGTTAGCATTTGTGATGTATGAATCAAGTTAAAAGGGAAGCTTTGGTTCATTTTAATTATAAACTTACCCTCTGCTTGGGAAACAGGACGGGCTAACTATGCACACAGTTCTGGAGGACAAAAGGGAAAAACGTTGTGGAGCTGAGGAGCAGAAAGCCGACGGCGGCTGGGTTTTCACTGGACGGTGTTGTGTGGCGTTTTCTCGTGTTTAGTTTGTTGTGTTCATGCCGACTGTATCCATGTGTAAATATATGCTTTTTTTTTTTTCTTTCTTTTTTGGAGTGAGTCAGATCTAACAGTGCACTGAATGTACAGTGACAATAAAAATCACATGGTTTATGTAATCGCTGCATTTTTATTGAGACATATATGCAAGACAACCAGCAGGAGAAGAAACTCGGTGATGGATTTTGTGATCATCTACTGACGGCTGGTTCTGTTCTGAATGGACGTGATAATGTTTTGATGCTTTCAGATGCATTTCAGACTGTTTCCGTGTTCAGAAAGCCATTTTTTATCCCCCTTAAGGAGATTTTAATTTGCACTAAAGGAAATCAACAGCGCTAAAATTATTTTTAAAAATTAATGTAAAACTGGTGATTAAAGTTTCATTTAGTCAAGCAGGAAATACATTTTTTTGGTTTGTCAAATAGAAAATGCTTCTTACTGTCCATGGACTGATGGTGGTCGACGTCATCAAACGTCCATTCTGAGCCATTAAAACCCGTAATGTGAATAAAAGCAGAGCCCAGAATGAAACTGGACTGTGCTGATATATTTTCCCAGTTTTTGTGAAATTTGTCTCCCAGGAAAAGTTTTGAGATGCACTCAGTTAAAGCTAAAATGTGCAGGTTTTAAATCAGGAGACAACTTTGGATTTTCAACATTTTAACGGTACATCGATGATGCCAGCACTATGCCGCGTACTGGGATGTGAATTTTATTTGCGTCGTCCAATAACATGTTAAGAACATACGCAGCCTGAACATAACTACAGTGAATGTAGGAAGAAATTAAAACTAGGCACAAAAAAATGGTTAAATATCAGTTTTATCATCATGGGTTTTGGGCCTTTGTCCATCTCTAATGCACATTTTTTTGTAAAATCATAATAATTTGTTGTATTGTGCAGCCACATGATCAGATCTTAAATCTTACCCGCATCTCATACACTGGACAAGTCATGTACGGTCAAAAGGTGCCTCGATGACCGATCGTGTGCGCACATGTGCAGACGGGTCCGCCTTCACTTGTACGTTTAGCAAGACGGTGCCTTGGGGTGTAACGGCATCCTCCTGCCCCGACTGTCAGCTGGTTAACTGTCTACACAATGTCCCGTTTGACCTTGCGTTGGCTACAACACTGGCTGAATGCACATCTGACACACTCCCTTCTTTTGTGGTGCAATCCTGTGGAAGTCATTTCATTTACTGGGCTTTCAACTTCAGCCAATATGGGGGTTGTTGGGCGGAGGGTGGAGGTGGTGGGTGGAGGTGGAGGGGGGAGCAAGTCTGTGTTTAATCAGCCTGCCACAAACCATTCTCCTAAACAAAATCAACTACGATGTCCAGCGAAAGCAGAAGATTGAATTAAACAAATAAATGGGCTTGTCACTTTTTCATTTTTTTATTTATTAGCCTGGCACCGCCGTACTCGCCACTCCACATCATTGCCGCAAATAACGGCCGCGTATTAAGTTGTAGTTCGTTCTGCACTGCAAATCAGCATCGCACTGTTTTAGTTCTGCACGGACAGAAGCTGAAAAAAACGGAAGAAAATGTGCAATCACGTGTCTCGGGAACCTGCCGCTCTTCCTTCAGCCGGATTGGAAGCAGCTTTTCTCTGTTTTCAGTCATGTAGAAGGGAATTAGGGCATGGCCCACTGTCCTCAGAGTGACTTTCCATCTTGTAAACCCTGTTTTATTCTCCTTAAATCGTTTCCGGTTGTCGGACC